GGAGAATACAATGAAAGGTTCACTGACTTTGAGAATCATGACATCACACTCAAATTAGCATTTCGGCCTCAACTAAAGAACTACAGATGGAATTGATTGAGCTCTCAGGGGATGACATTTTAAAGTCATTGTTTGATGCTAAGAAAGATCTAATTGAAATATGGAAAAATGCAGTAGAATACCCACACCTTCAGCAACATGCCCCAAAAATGCTTTCTTGCTTTTCAGCCACTTATTGCTGCAAGTCTGCATTCTCCTACCTAACCCAAATCAAGACGCCCTTAAGGTCACAACTGAATGATCCACATCTAGAGGATCAAGTGAAACTGCGGGCCTCCATGCTGCAACTAAATATTCAAATGCTTTCCAACAAAAAGCAGACACAACACAGTCATTAAAAGCTTAACTTTAAAATTAATATACAGTTTTCATTTTTTGAAATTATCGAGTAGATAGTAATTAGATTTTTACAAAATAATGTACATTTTTTACTATATCTAATTAAAGTTTCTTCAATTTGGCCTTATTTGATTAGAACTAAACGAACTAGGACTTCCAACATGAAAAGTTTCCCCACCCCTGTCCCAGACCGTACCCCCAGTAATGTCTGGCTCATAACAGACAACAGATCATTTTTGAATGAAGAATGAATGGGCCTCCATCACCCTCTGTTCCTGTTTGAACTTCAGTCACTTAACAGTTTGTAAATTTTGCACAAGCATCACTTGTTTTTTTACCAGGGACCTTTTGGAGTTTTGCTTCTCTTTCAAAACTCTTATCACTAAACTTAGATATCACTTACTGTTTTCTTCCACAATCAAACAAAACAAAAAAATATATTTCTCCTTCAAAATATCACCTGGGAATATGGACAAGGTAGCAGTTCATTCATTTGCTGGACATGTGGAATGATTTCGTTATCTTTTTATACCTTTTCTCTAAACTTGTCACCCAAAACTCACTTTGTTGCCCAGGCTAGAGTGAGTGCCATGGTGTCAGCCTGGCTCACAGCAACCTCAATCTCCGGGGCTCAGCGATCCTGCTGCCTCAGCCTCCCGAGTAGCTGGGACTACAGGCATGCGCCACCATGCCCGGCTAATTTTTTGTATATATATTTTTAGTTGGTCAATTAATTTATTTCTATTTTTGGTAGAGACGGGGTCTCGCTCAGGATGGTTTTGAACTCCTGACCTTGAGCAATCCGCCCGCCTTGGCCTCCCAAAGTGCTAGGATTACAGGCGTGAGCCACCACGCCCGGCTCTCTTTTTTTTTAAGTCAAGAAACTTCACAAACAAGTTCCCCTTGAAATGCAGCAATCTCCTTCTTTTCCTTCCATCTATCTACCAAATATTTATTGCATATTGGATATAAAGTGATAAAAAGGATATTAACCATCAGCTTTGTTACACAGTTTTGTATTAACAGTTTGGCATTTTTGGTGTGTGCACCTTTTAATATTTTGTTTATAGTATTTTTAGTTGTAAGAATTTAAAAAATTTTATGTAATCTAGTCTAATGGTCATTTCCTTCCTAATTTTTCCATTTCTTTTCTTTCCTCATCTTTAGATCACATAAATATTTGCCTAAATTTTCTTCTAGTTTTAAAACTCCTTAAAGTACCTGCAATTTCTTTCAGAATGTAATGAAAGGTAAGGGCTGAAGCTGATTATCTTTTCAAATTTCTAGTTTCCTAGGTGTGTTTACTGACACTCCATCCCTTTTTCACTCATTTGCAATGACTTCTTTATCACATATTAAAGTCCGGTGTCTTTTCCCGGGTTACCTTGTTCTGTTATGATATGTTTCAGAATTACAGCCTTCTACTATTTTCCAATAATAGTAAATCTTCCATATTTTTATTCATTTTCATAATTTTCTCAACTCTTCTCATCCATTACTTGTTCAGATAAACTTTAAAATAATTTTGTTAACGTCCACATTATATAGATAAGAAACAGAGACTCAAAAGGGACAGTTAGCTTAGGGTAACACATCTCCTAAGTGGAAGAAGCATAAATCAAAATCATGTCTTTTACATCTCCCTTTTCAGACCTAAACTGCTATGATTTTTCAGTAAAGAAAACTCGTAACACTTTTTATTAATAGCTAACCATTCTTTCTCCTTTCCTGTCTGCCTCCCTCTAGTGGCCATCACAGATATTACAGTTTCTGAAGTCTGTTTTAATATAATAATTAATCTGCTCCCTTATAAAATAAAAACATATGTTTACCTTACTTTATAAATTTATAAAAAGGTCATAAAAAAATTTTTTGTAATATTTTGGGGTCCTGTATTATCAGGATTTTCTTAGTAAGGACCAGTCTCAGAAGACATTTATCAAAACATCAAGTGAATTTGCAGTGAAATTTTATAAATTTCATGTTTTGTTTTGTATTTTTTTTGAGACAGAGTCTTGCTCTGTTGCCTGGTCTAGAGTGCCATGGCATCAGCCTAGCTCATGGCAACCACAAACTCCTGGGCTCAAGTGATCCTCCTGCCTCAGCCTCCTGAGTAGCTGAGATTACAGGCATGCGCCGCCATGCCCGGCTCATTTTTTCTATATATTTTTAGTTGACCAATTAATTTCTTTTTATTTTTAGTAGAGATGGGGTCTTGCTCTTGCTCAGGCTGGTTTCAAACTCCTGACTTTGAGCTATCCACCCGCCTCGGCCTCCCAGAGTGCTAGGATTACAGGCGTGAGCCACCACGCCCCGGCCCTTTCACGGGTTTTTAAAGCAATAACAACCAAGTGTGTTGGCTCACACCTGTCATCCCAGCACTTTGAGAGGCCAGCGGATTGCTTGAACCCAGGAGTCTGAGGTTACAGTGAGCTGTGATCCAGGCCACTGCACTCTAGCCTGGGTGACAGAGGGAGACCCTGTCTCTAAAAACTAAAAATAGAAAAGCAACAACAATATCATATACAAAGCCCTCCAGGTTTTTTTCTTTTTTCTTTTGGTCTATGGACATGATCTAAGAACTTTCATGAAGAACTGTCTTTAGATTCCCCTCTAAACCACTTCTTTTTAAACCTCACTGGGTGTCCTTCCTTACCTTTTAGTCCCTTTATGTGTGTTCGGTCAGCACAAAGGTGCCTAGGCAGTGCATTGGGGACAGGAAGCCAGCCTGTGCTCCGTAGCTAAGCGGATCCCTGGCTAGGTCTGCACCAGGCTGCAGGACCGGCCAGCTGATCACAATTCCCACAAAGATTTGCTACATGCTCACAGGGGCTGGCATTATTTCCCGACTGCCTCTCCGTGCAAACTTTCTCAGTCTCATTTTCTTCCCTGTTCAATTCCTTCCCCTATATATATATATATTTTTTTTTTGCCTTTTTCTTACCTTTTCCTTCCTAATCCCATCATCCTTCCATTTCTTCCTTCTTATCTCTTCTTCACCTATAAGAAAAGACACACAATAAAAGCTTAACCAATAGATCACAAAATGCAAATAAAGAATAAGATAAAGAAAAAAAAGTAAAATTAAAAAATATTAAAAAAAAAAAAGCTTAACCAAGCCAAAAGAACAATAATAAAAAGAATAACAAATTCCGAGAAGCACTTATCAAAGTGGATTTTTTCTTGATCTGAATTCCTTAAAGAGAAGAGTTGCCTAAATTATCTTTCACCCAGAGGTGTTTAATACTAACTTCTATGAAGTCACTTCATGGTAAAGACATTCACATTTAACACAATATGAGACAAAAATTTAAGATTTTTTTTTTTTTTAAAAGAACATAATCAGAAAGCTTAGGTCTATTATTCACCAAAAATTAAGGACTGTCAAGAATGGATTCTCTGTTGCATTTGGTTCAGAAAGATGGGGGTAACAATCCTTGTCTAATTAACTAGCAAGTTGGTAGATTAAAGTGCTTTGTACACATTAATTAAAGATGCGGGGAATTAGGTGAGGCTAGTGTGTTATTAGAAGAAAAGTTTTCTTCCCTTTAATCAGGTATCTCTTCCTGGGGAGGGCACAGAAATGATCTAAGGACTAAGGAATTGGGGCTCAGCCCTGAATGCTGCCAGTGACTCAGTCATTCTGTGCGACCAACCACTTCCTTCCTTCGTTTTCTGTAAAATTAGGATAAACACAGACATTTCTGGAATATAGGCTGTTAACAACGTTTGCCATTTCGGCACAGAACAGACTCTACAACTGATAAAGCCCCATTTCTCTTGCTTCCTCCCTCCCTAACCAGGTTGTTCCACCTCATGGAAACACTGGTAACATTAACTTCCACCGACTCACCAAAGCCTTCCACAACTAGCTGTTAACCTTGGCAGATATTTCCACAGCGATAAAGAAGAAAGCGGCCACAGGCAATGGGGTCAAAAACCCTTGGATGCGTTTCTGCAGCTCTCTGAACCTCAGTTTTCCTCCTCTGTAAAATGGGGATAAGAAATCAGAGGATTGGCCAGGCGCGGTGGCTCACGCCTGTAATCCTAGCACTCTGGGAGGCCGAGGCGGGCGGATTGCTCGAGGTCTGGAGTTCGAAACCAGCCTGAGCAAGAGCGAGACCTCGTCTCTAAGAAAAAAAAAAAAAAAAAGAAACCAGAGAATTGTTTTAAGGATTAAATGAAATAATGCAAAGTATGTTAAATGCCGTGTCCGAGGGTATAAGAACTCAGTATATAAAATAACCTCTCAAAGCTAACGATAGTTAATAATAACAATAGCAATAGTAATAATAATAATAAAATGAAAGTCGCATCTCATCCAAGCTGCAAACGCACATCCCTGTCGCTTGTCTCCGCGTGGGTAGCTTGGTGGCGGGGGCTGGGGACTGCCACGCGGATCGGCCCCCCAGTCCAAACCTCACACCTGGACCGGGCACCGCCCCCCCATGCCCTCCCCACCCCCAGGCGGCCGCCAGGGCGCAGGGCCGGTCCCTTTAAGTGCCGCGGGCGCGCGCAGTGCGCGTCCGTCGGGGAGCCGGGCCCGGCGGGGGAGTGCGCGCGCGGCCGGGGCCGCACGGGGCGAGGCGCGCGCGGGCGCCGGCTGGCGGGCTTGTCGCAGCGCTGCGGGCGGCGGTCGGCGCGGGCACCTGCGTCCCCGCGCGCGGGGGCTGGCGCTGGGTGAGTGCGGACGCGCGACCCCGCAGCGGGGCGCGCCGGAGGCGTCCTGGCGGCGGCGGCGGCCAGGCTGGGGGGAGCGGGGCGCGGCGGACGGTGCGCGCCTCCCCAGCCGCGCGGCTGCGCGCTCCCCCTGCGCCCCTGCCCGGCGCCGCACCCGGGGGGCGCCGCGACCGCCCAGTGCGGGCCACCAGGTGCTCGCCGCGCCCCTGGGACCGACCCCGGGGTCGGGGGCTGGGGAGGGACGCGCGGTTTTCTCCCGGGGTCTTGGGGGGGCGGGCACCGTGGTGGTGGCGGGTTTTCTAGCTGGGGGCGCGGAGCGTCCCCGCTGTCCCCAACGCCCCGTGCGCGGAGCCCTGCGAGGGACCCGGCGCCGCGCTTCCCACCCGGGACCCCTGTGGGTCCCACTTTGGCGGGGGCGGGGGGTGGCCGGGGCCACCTGCTGACCTGACCCCAGGTCGTGTGCAAAGTGATCGGGAGGTTCCCCCCCCCCCGCCCCCAGCAGGTAAGTGAATCACGCGGGAACGTGGAGGATCTGCACAGCGATCCGGGGCGGGAGGGATTTAAAAAAAAAGGAGAAGAAAACGTGGCTAATGTGATGAAATTTAACAAAAGCCAATAAAATAAGCTCCAGTATTTCTCCGAGGCTTTGAAAGTTTCCCAGTATTGTTTTACAGAGTCTAAATTTAAGCATCTAGCTTTTTTTTTCTTCCCCACCCCTTAACCACAGAAACTAACCTCAGAAAACTTTTTAACTCTTTGCCAGAATCTGGTTGGCGCAAGGCAGAGAACTTTAGAGGACAGGAACATGATTTTGTGTTTCAGGTTTTTCCCCCCTGAACAGAGGAGGGGAAAACAGGTCTGTTGCTGGAACCTTCGGTAGGAAGAAGGTTCCTTCTGGCTCCAATTTTAATGGAGAACTTTTTTTTTTTTTTTTTTTTTAAATCCGTATTACTGAAAGGTGTAGAAACACCAAACCAGGTATAAGGGTGAACTTGAGGGAAATGTTCACAGGAGAAAACCTTATTAAAAATACTTTTCTACTTGATTTTTTTTTTAAAAAAAGCACTGCTACATAGTGCTCCAGCAGGCACTAAAAAGTTTGCCCTCAAAGTTCCAAGTCTGAATGCTACTGATTGTTTTTCTAGGTGGAGGAGGTATTTTCGTTCATGAAGCCAATGTGGAAATACAAACAAATGCCCTATTTACTTGGGATTGGGTGGGAAGGATGGAAGTTGTCTAAAATCTTTCTTGCCAAAGTTGACAGCGTATGTATGGAATCTTGTGTGTTTTCTTGCCCAGACTAGTAAATGGCCATTTTTAAGTGACTGAGTATATTTCTTGCTAACAGCACCTTCAAATGAGCTTCTCTTTGAAAATTCTGGACGCTGATGATTTAGAAGTAACACAGTTTTTCCATTACTAGAAATAAGAAATCCAAAATAAGAGTGATAATTGAGAGGAAGCTGGAAAGAGGAGGGATGCTTTTAAGAAAATTCGAGTATGTTTGACTCCTCTGTCAAGGGTGGGGGGCGTTGCCTGTTTTATTGCAGGTCTGGAGTGGTCATTAATTCCCTCAGCAATATTTGTAGAGCCACCACCTACTACGGTGTGCTGAGCCCTCGCCGGCCACTGGGCATCCAATCATTTCGTAACATCACAGCCATATGGCCCAAACTGATTAAAATCAGATCCAGTAAGCCTTCATCAGGAGCCGAAGAGATACCTGGCCCCAGTTCCAAAGTTCTCAGACACCTAAGGAGGCTATAGTTGGCACCCCGTGTTGATTGTGAAGATCATCTCAGATAACTCCAAGAGGTACAGCCCTGGAAGCCCAAGGGGAGAGAGGAGAAAGGCTTGGGTGGGGCAGAGCTGAGAACCGGGGATCCTCTGGAACAGAAAGTTCAAGTGCATCTTATCTGCGTTGTTGTGGGATAGCTGCCAAATGGCCCCGAGGCCATTCGGGAAGGTGCCAGGGGAATCCTAGGAGCATCCCAGAACCGGAGCTCTTTTCTCCGACGGCGTTTCATTTCAGTTTCCATTGCACGTTCTGGTGGCAGTGTAGTAGCTTCGTAGCTGCCTGTGTGCTCTCAGAGGACGTCCTTGGCAACTCTGCCCCTGAGAGACCATGGCCTTCCCCTCTCGGTGCTGGGTGGTCTGCCGGCTGCCGCGGGAAGGCCCCTGCTCACGGTGGCACTGCTGTCTGCCCGGTGGCACTGCTGTCTGCCCGGCGGCACTGCTGTCTGCCCCGCCGTGTTAAGGCATCACTGATAACAGCCTCTGCCTGTCGAGAACCACAGGGAAGCCGTACTTCTCAATAACGTTTCGAGACCCTTCTAGACTCTGCAGCATTCACCTTGAAACCTAAGAGTATTTTAAGAAAGTCAGTGCTGCTGGGTTTATAATCTGTGTGGTCAGGATTGGTAGTAAAGGAATGTGCAGGGCAGAACATTCTGCCTTACTGGCGGGGAATGGGAGAGTTCTTATGAATGAGCATCTTCACACTGGATACGTCCAAAGACTCTTAGCACTGTGAAGACGGGATTCTATTTTTTTATGGTAGTGACATACACGCCACATAAAATTTACCACTTTAACGTGCACACATCAGTGGTATTAAGTACATTCCATTTACAGTGTTACGCAACTACCACACTATTGAGTTCCAGAACTTTTTTATCACCCCAAAAGGAAACCCATACCCATTAGGCAGACAATCCCTTTTCCCCAGCTGCCCAGCCCCTGGCAACCGTTAATCTTTTTCTGCCTCTGTGGATTTTCCTATTCTGAATGTTTCATACAAATGGAACCTTCAGTGTGTGGCCGTTTGCATCTGGGTTCTTTCAGTTAGCATAATGTTTTCAAGGGCATCCATATTGTAGCGTGTATCTGGTCTTCATTCCTTTTTATGGTTGAATGATATTCCATTGTATAGATACATCACATTTTGTTTATCCACTCACCAGTGGATGGATGTTGGTCGTTTCCACCTTTTGGCTACTGTGAACAGTATTGTTGTGAACAATCGCGTGCAAGTTTTTGTTTGAACACCTGTTTTCAATTCTTGGGTCTATACCTGAGAGTAGAATTCCTGGGTCAAATGGTAATTCTGTGTTTAACTTGCTGAGCAACTGCTAGACTGTTTTCCACAGTGGCTGCAACATTTTGCATTCCCATCAGCAGTGTGTGAGGGTTCCAGTTTCTCCACATCCTTGCCAACACTTGTTATTAATACTTCCTTTTTCTTTTTTTAAATTATGGCCATCCTACTGGATGTGAAGTGGTATTTCATTGTAGTTTTGATTTGCATTTCTGTAATGACTAATAATGTTGAACACCTTTCCACCTGCTTGTTAGCCACTTATATATCTTCTTTAGAGAAATGCCTGTTAACTTTTCTTTTGTATTAGCTTTTGTATCACCAAAGTTTGCCTGTGAATATAAGTGTAGTTATTTTCATAGAGCTCGGTTTGTGTATTATATTCCTTCTCAAACCTTCATTCTGTTGTGGGTATTTTTCTCCCCTGCTCTCTCTTCTGGGCTTCTAAGAAGCCAGTTGTCTGACTAGTGCTTGGAAATATTTAATATTCTGCCTGTTACAGTTATTGATCCCAAGGCGGGGTGTATTTCAGTTCATTCGGCAATGCAGTGTTTGCTGCCTGTTTGACGGCCTACAGTTTGGTGAGCCCTGAGCAGGGCATACAAACACACCAGTCCTCATAGACTTCTCTTTCTGATGTGCACGGATTACATTTTATTCCTAAAAACAGGTTAATGGCACCTAGGGAGAAGAAACAGTACTGCACTGAAGGTGGAGGGGAATCCCCCTCAGATAGTCACCAGACACTCGTGTGACCTTAGGTTTCACCACTTTTCCTTCTGGAATTTGATTTTCTGGTCTCTAGAATTTGGGGCAGGACCCAATGACGTCACAGGCCCTTCTCAGACCCTGAAACTGGAGATTCTAAATGACTGGTTCAACCCAGTTTTCTTTATAAACCTAATTCTGAGGGTATTTAAAATAGTCTAGTTAGCACAAATTACGAAGGAACTATCTTTGTGGGGGGAAAAAGTCTGTGGTCTTTCATACTAGGCTATAAACAGGTGACAATGGCCACCTCCCGAAATGTGCATTTAGTATTTTCTATAAAGAATCAGGTCAGGCATGGTGGCTCACCCCTGTTAATCCCAGCACTTTGGGAGTCCCAGGTAGGAGGATTGTTTGAGGTCAGGATTTTGAGACCAGCCTGGGCAACATAGTGAGACCCTGCCTTTACAAAAAATAAAAAAAATTAGTCTGGCATGGTGGTGTGCACCTGTAGTCCCAGCTACTCGGGGGTGGGGGCTGAAGCAGGAAGATCCCTTGAGCCCAGGAGTTTGAGGCTGCAGTGAGCTATGATGATGCTGCTGCCACTCTAGCCTTGACGACAGAGTGAGACACTGTCTCAAAAACAAAACAAAACAAAAAAAACCAACTTAAGTTTAGGGAGTTTTCATGAACATTGGAGTTCCAAACATGCTATGCAGAATTGGGAACATAGAGGTGAATGAGGTCTGGTCCCTGCTCTCAGAAACTGTGGTCCGCGTGATGTGAGGAACAAATCAGTTAGGAAAAACAAAAAAGGAACTATGGTCTAGCAAAGGAGGTAAGATAAATGTCAAATATGGATTGATAACAAGAGGCTCACAAGTCCTTCGTGAACAGGGGACAGAGATGTCAGAACACCTCCTGGAGAACGTAACATCTGAGCTGGGCCAACAGGGGCAGGATAGCAGGAAATCAGGCTAGCATGGTAGAATTGTGGGTTTGATCATCACGCTGAGAGTCTGGCCTCTCATTTGGGGGCATTAACCTTCGCAGGGTTGCCAGAGGGAGGTGGTGATCGCAGACCGCGGCGTCCGGCCCTACTGCGCCGTAGACATTCGCAGCCGGAGGGAGTAACTTGAACAGGATGTTCAGGATTGAGGAAGGGAGGGTAAAATCATGAAGATACAAGATGGTA